GTGTGTGTGTGTGTGTGTGTGTGTGTGTGTGTAGAGATGGGGGTCTTGCTATGTTGCCCAGGGTAGTCTCAAACTCCTGGCCTCAAGCAATCCTACCTCAGCCCCCTAAAGTGCTGGGATTATAGGCATAAGCCACCACGCCTAGCCAATGGATTTTTTTTTTTGGGAGACAGGGCCTCGCTCTGTTGTCCAGGCTGGAGTACAGTGGTGCAATCATAGTTCACTGCAGCCTGGAACTCCTGGCCTAAAGCAATCCTCGCGCCTTGGCCTCCCAAAGTGCTGGGATTACAGACATAAACCACCGTGCCTGGCCCGCCATTTTTAAGTGTACTGTTTACAAGTGTTAAGTACGTTCACATTGTTGTGCAACCAATCTCCAGAACTCTTTTTATGCTGCAAAACTGAATCTCTGTACCCATCAAACAACAACTCCCCATTCCCCATTCCCCTGGCAACCACTATTCTACTTTCTATAACTTTTTTTTTTTTTAAAGACAGAGTCTTGCTCTGTCACCCAGGTTGGAGTGCAGTGGAGAGATCATAGCTCACTGTAACCTTGAACTCCTGGGCTCAAGTGATCCTCCTACCTCAGTCTCCCAAAAAGCTGGGACTACAGGCATGCACTACCACGCCCAGCTAATCTATTTCTGTTTTGTGGAGATGGGGTCAGGCTATGTTGCCCAGGCTGGTCTCAAACTCCTGGCCCGAAGCAATCCTCCCACCTTGGCCTCCCAAAGTGCTGGGATTACTGGCATGAGCTACCACACCTGGCCTCTATAAATTTAACCTCTCTAGGTATCTCATATAAGTGGAATCATATAATATTTGTCCTTTTTGACTGGCTTATTTCACTTAGCATAACGTCCTCAAGGTTCATCCGTGTTATAGCATGTGACAGGATCCCTTCCCTTGGAAGCCTGAATAATATTTCACCGTATGTATGTACCATGTTCTGTGTATCCATTCATCCATCGGTGGACACGTGGGTTGCTTCCACCTCTTGCTCTTGTGAGTAACTGCTGCTATGAACCTGGGCGTACAATTATGTCTTCCAGTCCCTGCTTTCAGTTTTTTGGGGTCTATCCCCAAAATTCAAATGGCTGGATCATATAATAATTTAATTTTTAATTATTTGAGAAACCTCTGTACTGTTTTCCAGTGGTACAAAGGGTTTCAGTGTCTCCATATCCTCACCAAGACTCGTTATTTCCTGTGTATTTTTGTTAGTAGCAATTCTATTTCAGCCAGAGAGAACTAACATCAGGAACCCACATCCCAACCTTTCCCGAACATTTATTGAAACTCTCTGGCAATGATTTCACCTGCTGCGCTGCACGCCTGGCTGCCCTAGGCCTTTACCTTCCACAGCCTGTGTTCTCTGAGCCCCTCTGCCTGGTTTCTCCCAGGAGGAACAAGACCCAAACACGGAATTCACGGAGAAGAACTTGCTGATGACAGTCACTTACCTGCTATTCGCCGGGACGATGACCGTCAGCGCCACGATCTGCTACACCCTCCTGCTCCTGGTGAAATATCCTCGGGTCCAAAGTGAGAGCCTTTCCGCCAGCCAGGCCTTGGGAAGAGAAGGGGAAGGTTCGAGAGGGGGAAATGTGCAGGTGGAGTAGACAGGCTGAGTCACATCCTAGAAGTGACAGTGAGTGTGGCATTTGGGGTACCTCAGCAGTGAGAAAAAGTTGGGGGGCTGCTGGTTGCAGTATGAAGTGTAGTGAGAGGCAGGCAGGAGATGTCTGCGGGGGCTTGTCACCTTGGTGGTTTATTGTGTGCCTTATCCTGAGCTGGCAGCCCCGTGGAAGAACTCTGAGCAGGGGCACATTTGCATTTGAGAAGAATGCTCGGGGCTGCCCTGGAGAGGTGGATTATGGACGGTGCGAGAGGATGTCAAGAGCCCACGTAGCAGGACAGGCCTGGGCCAGGCTGTGGGGTTGCGGAAAATGGAAAGGGAGGGGAGGTGTCCAGGGACAGGCCCAGGAAACTGGGGAACATGGGGCCACCCTGAGACCGGGACAGGAAGGACGAGCAGCTGGTTTCAGGGAGAGACACCGAGGCCAATTTGGAATAATTGGAGTATAAGCCTGGGGCCACCCTGGAGGAGGCATCCACGAGGCCACGAGACGCCCAGGTCAGGATGGGAGGTGAAGAGTTGGGATCATCAGAGCACTGGCAGGAACCGAGGCTGCAGTGATTAGGGAGGGGGTCCGGACAAAGGGCGGGTCTGGGAATGAGCCCCGAGGAACTCCGGCATTTTAGGGCCCGCTGTGTTAAATGCTAATGGGCTCGTGAGGTGGGCTGACCTGGAAGATGGGAGTTGGGGGCCTTGGTGGAGCGGCATCAGCTGTGACTTTGGGCAAATGACTTGGGCTTTCTGGGCCTCAGTTTCCTCATCTGGGAAATGGGACTAGATAGTAGTACCTCCTCATAGGGTTTCTGTGGGAGTTAGGGAAGGATAGATGGAGTACTCAGCACACAGGATGTCCCGTGGGCAGGGACACTGCTCCTCCCCTCTGCTAGCCTCACCCCAAACTACGGCTACCCAAGAAGATGAAGGAAGGTCACAGGGCCCCACCCCGCCTCTGACCCCTATCCCTCTTCTTGCATGCAGAGCGTGTGCGCGAGGAGCTGACGCGGGAGCTGGGCGCAGGCCGGGCGCCAGGCCTGGGGGACCGTCCCCGCCTCCCTTACACCAACGCGGTTCTGCACGAGGCGCAGCGCCTCCTGGCGCTGGTGCCCATGGGAATACCCCGTGCCCTGACGCGGACCACCCGCTTCCGGGGGTACACCCTGCCTCAGGTCGGTATGCGGGACAGCCCGGGGCCTGAGCTGGAGGTGGTTGCTGTTGGTGTCTCTCTGACTTTTTCTCGATCTTAGTGTCTGTCTGTCTGTCCATCTGTATCCTCTGTCTCCACACCCTCCTACATCTTCCTCCTTCTCCCTCTGACATCCCCCTCTTTTTCTCCCTCTGCATTTTCACTCTTTCTCTTCCTCTCCGCATGTGTTTCTCTTGCCCTTCGATTCTGTGTCTGGGCTCGGTTTCCCCATCTGTCCAGCAGATAGCCTAATGCCACCTCCTTCCAAGGCGGTTGGGACAATCAGATGAGGCGACACGCACAGCGAAGCAATCTGAGAACTATCAGAGGCCCTTCTCGCCCTTAGCCCCTGCCGCAGACACACCCGGACACATACATCCTGCCTGTCACAGACACGCAGACGGACACACACTTTCAGTCCCTGCCTCTTCATTGGCGAGCAGCTCAGACCCAGAACCACCAGGGGGCGCTGTTCCCCTAGAAACCCCAGAGCTGACTGCGAGCAGCTCCTTGTCCAGCTTCGTTGCAAAAGCAAATCCAGTCCTGCTGTTTCCTAACTGGGGCCTCGGGCAAATCCCTCGCCCTCTAAAGCTCAATGTACCCCTCTTCTAAACTGGGAATAATAATAGTATCAACTTGGAATTGTAATATAAGGCTTGTAAAATACCAACTCAGCCCTTGGTGGAAGGGGAGTTCTATGCACATGGCAGCCGCAATATAATGATAACGATGATGACAGTTATCGATACTCAAGGACTTGCTCTGTGCCGGATGTTATTCTGAATGCTTCACATGTCATCTTATTCAGTCTTCAAAGCAACCTTATACGATTATCATGCCCATTTTACAGATGAGGAGACTGAGAGTTTGAAAGGTTAGAAGACTTGCCAAGGTCCCCCAGCCTGCAAGCAGGGGAGGCAGGATTTAAACCCAGAACCTGTGCTTTAGCCACTGCTGTCTGCCTTCGTCTTATTTTAACGGCAATAACATGACCCTGTCTTTTCCTGGAACCCCCCTCACTTTCCCAACTCAGACCCCTCATAACAGAGTCCCTGGGAAAAAGGTCTCACCCCCCTCCTGACACTCCCCACCTGCCTTCGTCCTCCACCGCACAGCCCCCGGAGCATGGGAGCTCCGATCTTGGCTGAAGGAGCCACCGCTCCCCCTGAACCTGGGCAGGTGGGGCCTCCTTGGACGGCTCTCACCTCCCTGCCCTCACCTTTTACGAAAGACCATAGCCACAGAGAGCTAGACTCCCAGACATTCAGTGACAAGGTGGCTTAGGACAGCCACAGCTGAACCACACATACCAACCGCCAAAGTTTCAAAAGAAAATATAAAAATAACAAGCTCTGCCACGTCCAAATGGTTACCTTGGGCAAGTTGCTGAAGTTCCCTGGACCTCAGTTTGCCCATATTTAAAATGGGGATAATATTCATACGTGCCTCCTAGCCTTGTGCAAGTGACTCAGAGAGTTGGTGTGTGTGTGTGTGTGTGTGTGTGTGTGTGTGTGTGTGTGTGTAGTACGTGTATCTGTTACATATGAGATGATAACATACAAAGTGCTTGGCCCATCATAAGTACTCAACAAATGTTGATGTCATTATGTTTTCGTGAACTGGTGTCCCTGCCACTCCAGGCTTGTGTCCTGCACTTGGAACCGGACGGCCTGGGGTGGGGAGAGATTTGTACGTTGATTGCGGTCTCCCCACAGGGCACTGAGGTCTTCCCCCTCATTGGTTCTGTCCTGCATGACCCCGATGTCTTCGAGCAGCCAGAGGAGTTCAACCCCGGCCGTTTCCTGGATGCGGATGGACACTTCAAGAAGCACGAGGCATTCCTGCCCTTCTCCTTAGGTATCTGCTGGGTCCTTAGGTGCAACTAGGGGCCTGGCTGGCGCGGGGTGTCTGTGCCAGCTGCGGGGGCACATTCCTGGCACCCCAGGCTCGCTGTTGCTGCCCCCACCCACTGTCCCCTCCACGGGCCTGGGCGAGGAAGGCCGGCTCAACCCCATCTCCTTCTCCTCACCAGGGAAGCGTGTCTGCCTTGGGGAGGGCCTCGCGCGAGCGGAGCTCTTCCTCCTCTTCACTGCCATCCTGCAGGCCTTCTCCCTGGACAGCCCGTGCCCACCGGGCACTCTGAGCCTCCGGCCAGCTGTCAGCGGCCTTTTCAACGTCCCCCCAGCCTTCCAGCTGCAGGTCCAGCCCGCTGACCTCCAGCCCACTGTGCAGACCAGATGAAGGAGGGAGCTTTGCAGGCAGTGGCTGCCTGAGATGCTTCCTCCAGCCTCGAACGGGCGTGGACAGGGTTGTGTCTCCAGAGCCACAGGGCTGCTCCACAGGCGGCCACATTCACACACCTACGGCTGCTTTCTAGAGCCTGCCCCACAGACACGCAGCCCACATGCTCACTTGGCCCGTGCTGCTGTCGAGACGCACGACCACACACCGTGCGCAACCACGAGGGCCACGAGGCAACTGCTGCGGGGCTTTCCCCAGAGGTAAATTTGGTCCGTCTGGAATCGCAAGCACACACCCAGGCAGCCCACCGACTCGTAAACCACGCGACTCCCCCAGACCTCAGTCCATGCATGGGAGCACAGCTGCCACCTTCGGGCCACAGAATCGGCCACCGTGTCCACAGCTCACACGTACTCTTCATTCCTCAAACTCATCAGTGCCACCGTCTCTGAGTGCCCGGCACAGAGAATAGCGCACCCCCGTCCTGGGTGGTGCCACAGTCAGACCATCCCTGTCTGTGGCCTCAGCACGCGCCCCGTCGTGTGGCTGCACCACCCTCCAGGTACACGACCACCGATGTCCGTGTACCCCCAACCACTGGTCCACACAGCCAGTCCACGAATGGCACCGTCCTGGCTCCCCTGAGTTTCTCCCCGCTGAGACACCACTCCCGAGGAGGCACGGTCCCCGGCCACCTCCACAACGTCAGCTCTCAAAGTCACCCCTTTCCAGGCACTCTGATCCGCAAATGCTCCCACATGCAAACACAGCGCAGGCTGCATCTGTGCACACAGACCTTGCACACACGGGGATTCTGAGACCACCCACCCGCCCCACGCTCCTGCGTGTGCAACCGTGCCAAAAGCAACCCCTGCTACGCACGCACACTCTCTCTCACTCATTGACCCATGGCCCCTACGTAGCGTCAAAGTCCCCTTTAGACCCAGTGGAAGGGCCTAAAAGACCAAGTTGGGGCCAGGTTCCAATTCCCCGTGTCAGGGAAGGAGACAGATCCGACGTGCTTGTGACTTAAAGGTCCAGGTTTTTGCAATAAAAGTTTGTTTCTGGCCCATGGCCTAGTGTGTGTGTGACCGCGTCAGTCGTTGTGAGTAAGGGGTGGGGATAGTGGGGTCCACCCCTCCCCTGAGGCCGGGCGGGAGCTGGAAAACATAGCCGCGCCCACCCTGGCTGCTGACATCAGTACCAGATGTGGAGTGGGGGGAGGGAAGGGCGGAGCTGGGGCTGGCCCGGGCGTCCCTCCCAGGGAGGGCCAAGGTGTCTGGCCGCCCAGAGTGGGCACGGAGAGGGTAACCCAAGCCTGACCACAGGCCTTGGGGGCCTCCTCGGCCAGGAAAAGCCTGAAGCCAACCAGATTCAGACCCCTGGGACTCTCCAAATCCAAAAGCAGATACTTAAACACAGGCACTAGAAGACCACACAGACCCCAACCCCTCGCCCGCCTCTTCCTCCTGCCTTCCCTTCACAAGGAAACCGGAGGCATCTTTTTATTTTCTAATTATCTAGTAAGGAAGTTCTCAGACATACACAAAAGTAGAATGATACAATGAGCCTGTCACCCAACCTCATTCAATAATCAACTCTCTGCCGCTTTTGTTTCATCTGTCACTTTTTATAAAGATTATTTTAAGGCAAATCTCAGAAAATAATTGAATATGCATTTCTTTTTTTTTTTTTTGAGACAGAGTCTCACTCTCTTGCCTGGGCTAGAGTGCCGTGGCGTCAGCCTAGATCACAGCAACCTCAAACTCCTGGGCTCAAGCGATCCTCCTGCCTCAGCCTCCCAGGTAGCTGGGACTACAGGCACGTGCCACCATGCCCAACTAAGTTTTTCTATTTTTAGTTGTTTGGCCAATTTCTTTCCATTTTTAGTAGAGACGGGGTTTTGCTCTTGCTCAGGCTGGTCTCGAACTCCTGAGCTCAAACGATCCGCCTGCCTCGGCCTCCCTGAGTGTTAGGATTACAGGTGTGAGCCACCGCGCTTGGCCTGAATATGCATTTCTAAGGGTTAAGGAATTGTACAGGGGAGACCTGTGTACCATCTGAGTTCTCCCATAGCATAGTTGCCCACCTGGCCACCAGCTCAGCAATGTTTTAGGCATCTCCAAGTAAATTGCAGACATCAGCATCTTCTAGAAACTTCAGCAATGCATATATTATTAGCTAAAGTTTCCTTTTCAAGAAAAAAATTTCCACCATGTTATCATTTGATTGGCTTAAGCTCTATAGAGGTAGCACAAAACAGGGACAGGAGAGAGAATTGAAAAACGAGATTGGAATCAGATCCTAACAGTGGCGCTCCTTAGCTGACCACATGTTGACCAGGGATTGACCATCTTAAAAGCCTTAATAAATTTAAAAGAAAGAAGAAATGTGAAAAATTCTGGAACTTAATAGGAATGAAATACATGAAATACACGCTAAATTCGTGTATTTAATATTATTACTATTTCTTAGTATGTCAGTGTGATGTGAAAAGGAAGGAGGTTTAAGGTTTAAAATTAAGGCAATGGGCCAGGCAGTCCCAGCACTTTGGGAGTCTGAGGCAGGAGGATTGCTTGAGGCCAGGAGTTTGAGACTGGCCTGGGCAACATAGCAAGACCCCCTACAAAAATTATAAAAGTTAGCTGAGCATAGTCGCACGTGCCTGTAGTTCCAGCTACGTAAAAGCCTGAGGTGGGAAGACGGCTTGAGCCCAGGAGTCGGAGGTTACAGTGAGCTATGATCACTCCACTACACTCCAGCCTGGGTGGCAGAGTAAGACTCTGTCTCAAAAAAAAATAAAATAAAATTAAGCCAATGACTTGCTTTCCTTTGCACTCGAAATTCACATTCAGGGAAAACTGGAATGAGATAGAAATTCCAGCAAACTAGTTTATTTCAAGAGGCATGGACTGCTCAGGATAAAAGTGACATCAGGGTGATTTCAGTAGCAAGTAAAAGAAAATATAAACTCAAAAGGGCTTAAACAATAAAGAATTATTGAAACCAAAGTAAAAATATTTAAAATTAGTGTAGTGTTCAGATATTTTTCTGTGTATGGTAAAATATTCATAACATAATGTCATTTTAACCGTTCATAAGTGTGAATTAGTGGCATTAAATAAATTCACAATGTTAGTGGCATTAAGTATGTTCACAATGCTATATAACCATCACCAATATTTATGCCCAAAACTTTTTTATCATCTCCAAAAAAACCTATACCCATTGAACAATAACTCCCCTTTAAAGTTTCTTATATTTTTAAATTTTTTTTATGTATTGTTAGTTGTCCAGCTAATTTCTATTTTTAGTAGAGACAGGGTCTTGCTCTTGCTCAGGCTGGTCTCGAACGCCTGGGCTCAAACAATCCGCCCGCCTCGACCTCCCAGAGTGCTGGGATTACAGGCGTGAGCCACTGCGCCCGGCCTAAAGTTTATTTCTTAAAAGTCAAAACTATAATACCCATTCTCATACCTATCACAAAGAACAATTCTGTTATATCAGTGTTCATATTTTCTTGATGGTCTCATTAACATATTTTATATTGACCTGTTAAAATGAGTGAAAGAAAAAAACATTTTGTAATTGGTTTGTTCAAGTTAGAATCCAAATTTTATTTGAAATGTCTTTGAGGTTTTTAAAATCTGTAACTATTCCCCATGCTGTTGTATGCCATTTGTTTCTTGAATAAACTGAGTCATTGGCCCTGTACAATTTTTCATATTCGGGATTTGGCTGACAGCATCTCTGTGGTGTCATTGAAGATGTCCTTCTGTTCCCAGGATCGCTTGTAAATTAGGAATTAAATCAGATCTGGGCTCCTTCTGGCAAGAGCTCCTCACCGGACGTGCTGAGCCCCTTCCCACTACATCACACCACCATAACGGATGGTCACATGTTTGGTGACACTTAAAATTGGCGTGTCCAGGTCCTGATTCCTCTGTCAGAAAGTCGGTCAACCTTTCACTCGCTGCCCTTAGCAGAGGAATCCTCTAAAACCGTGCTCAAAGCCCACCAGTGGCTCCCACTGTTGTTAAAATAAAGGCCAACGTCCCTTCCTGACCATGTTCCTCCTACCTCCATCCATTCCAGCCACAAAGGTGCCTCCTCGAAGTTCTTCACCGTGCCTGGCATACGCCTACCTCTGGGCCTTTGCACTGGCCATTCCCTCTGCCTGGAATGCTGTTCCCCACGTGGCTTACGCATAATTGACTTCAGCTCTCACTCATAACCTGGGAGAGGCCCTCCCTGACCATCTTCTCTAAAATAGAATCTACCCCTTACCATCCCCTCCTCTGCTTTCTTTTTCTTCACTGCCCATCTTGCATCCTAATAAACATCTTTGAGATTGTCCTTTCTCTCTCCCTTAGAGTGGGAGCTTCATGAGGGCATGGACTTGTTTTGCTCACTGCAGAAGGCCCAGCCCCTAGCCCCTTGCACAAGGAACATTTCACCACCTGTGGCAGGCACATAGCAGGTGCTCAGCAAATAGTTCCTTTTTTATTTTTCTTTTTGAGACAGGGTCTTGTTCTGTCACCCAGGCTAGGGTGCAGTGACGTCATCGTAGCTCACAGCAACCTCCCACTCCTGGGCTCAAGTGATCCTCCTGCCTCAGCCTCCTAAGTAGCTGGGACCATAGGTACGTGCCACCATGCCTGGCTAATTTTTCTATTTTTCATAGAGACAGGAGGTCTAGTTCTAGCTCAGAGTGGTCTCAAACTCCTGGCTTTAAGTAATCCTCCAGCCTCAGCCTCCCAAAGTGCTAGGATTACAGGAGTGAGCCACTGCGCCCAGCCAGCAAATAGTTCTTGAGTGACTGCATTCACAGGTTCAAGATGGCCATGCATCCAGCTGGGTCCCCGGAGTCCTAGGAGAGTAGGGACCCCTAATGTATGTAAACAAATGGCCAGACCTTCGAACATATTTGCACCCCTCGAAAATGCCACAACTATTCATTGTCCCCTTCATGTCCCCTTTTATAGGGCGGTGAGGGCACAGCAGTGACCAAAGATATACCCAGTCCCTGCCCCCATAGAGCCCAGGGACCCGTGGGAGGAGACAGACATGAGACACATAATCATGCCAATAAATATATAATGACAACCCATGCAAAGCGTTGCCAAAGAAAAGGACAGGGTGTTGGGAGTGAACAACGTGGGGACTAGATTAGACTAGGAGGGGACAGACCGTGATGCCATGGAGATGGGACGACAGAGACGGGCCGAGGGGTGTAGGAGTCCGGCACAAAGCACCCAGGAGGACGCTTCAGGGCCTGCGAGGAGGTTCTCCGGGGGGAAAAAGTGAGAAGAGCCTGAGGAGGGACAGGGAAGGGCCACCTGCACCAGGAGGGGGTCCTCGTAGGCCTCGGTAAAGAGTTTGGGGTTTTGTCTGAAAGGTTTGGGACAAGGAGAAGGAAGGGCTTTGAGGCTGGGAAACATCCCTCTGGCTGCTGAATGAGAGGCAGGTTGGAGGAGCAAGAGCAGAGGCCGGCAGCCCGGGCAGGAGGCCGGAGCTGGGGCCCAGGCAGGAGGGGACAGGGCTGACCCCGGTGAGGCCTTCTGGAGAAACGAGGGGAGGTGGGAAAGTGAATCCTCCCTGGAACTTGGTAACCGCCTGCAGGGTAGGGGGTGTTCACGAGGACCCAAGGCTCAGGCTTGGGGGGCAGCATGGACGGGGCTGTCACTGAAATGGGACACGAATGAAACAGAGCAGGGAGACTAATGCTGAAGGGCCCTGAGCAGCCGGCGGGGGAGCCTCGGTGGAGCAGGGGAGGCACAGGGACAGGTCTGAGTTTCGGGAACATCCCTCTGGTTGTGGGGTCGGCGGGGGTGGGGGGATGCACTGCAGGGAGCAGGGAGGACCAGCCGGGCTGGGGGTGTGGACAAGGGGGCAGGTGGGGGAAACATCAGGAGGCCAAACAGATAGGACTCTGGGATGAGCTGCAGGGATACTGAAGCCCAAACAGAAATGGCCAACAGCAGAGGGATGGACGCCTAGCCGTCTCCCGCACAGACACCCAGGCAGGTAGAGCCCCCCCATGTACAAGGGACGTGCAGCAGAACCAACACACGGGCACCCGATCTGCAGAGACCAGGAAACACAGCCCCGCAGAGGAAGAGAGCAGCACCGGTGCACACAGAGATGAGACGCAAAAAATCACGGCACCTTGTCAGATGTGGTCACCACATGCAGGGAACTGCGCATGCTTAGACCTAGAACATGCTCTCATTAACCGGCTAAACAAATTCCATTCTTATCCCCACCTTACAGATGAACAAACTGAGGCTCACTGGCCCCTGATCACACTGTGAGTGAAAGAGCTGGGATTCCAGCTCGGGTCTCTGGGCACCCCTGTGTGTGCTGGTACGCTGTGGTCCCATTTATGTGTCCCTGTGGGCTTTGGTGTGTGGGAGGATCCGTGTCTCCCCGAGCAAGTGTCCCCATGGATGCCGACCAGCGGTGTCCTGCCCGGTTTCTCCGGGAGTGGAGCTCCTGACCCGGCTTGTCTGAGTGTGGCTGTGGGCCGGCAGCGTGTCTCTGCCTGTCCCAGCCTGTGTGTGTGTGTGTGTGTGTGTGTGTGTGTGTGTGTGTGTGTGTGTGTGTGTGTGTCCTTCTCCAAGGAGCCCTGAGAGTGAGGGGGAGTGAAGGGCCAAGGAGGCCTGGCTGGGGCTGGGCTGGGGGTGGAGGCAGGGAGAGGGGCGTCGCGGCTGAACCGGGAGTGGAGTTCTGGAGGAATGTTTACCAGACACAGACGGCCCAGAGGGACAGCGCCCAGAGTCCGGACAGAGAGACGCACAGCCTCACCAGCCCAGGATTAGGGGGGCAGCCTACAGGGTCCCCTTCCCGGTGTCCTCAGCCTCCCTCCTGGGCCCCTTTAAGACAGGGCTGGTCCTCTCCTCTCAGAGTTAACCCCTCGCGGTTCAGGTGGGCCCCGGGTTTCGGCCTGGTGGGCGGAGGCGGTGGGGGGAGCCAGGGGCGGGGAAAGGGTTGCCCAAAGTCTGGGAAGAACGGAGGAAGAGGCAGGGGAGCTTGGGGAAGGCGGCTGCTGCCGAGCAGAGCCGGCCCAGGGGCCCCCGCTGTGCCAGGCAGGCAGTGCCAAATCCGGGGAGCCCGGAGCTGGGGGGAGGGCCGGGGACAGCCCGGCCCTGCCCCCTCCCCCGCGGGGTGCCCAGCAACTTCTGAGGAAAGTTTGGCATCGATGGCGTGGTGGCGCCCCAGGATGGGCAGGACCTTGCTGGCCTGCTGCTTGGCGCTGTGCTGCTGGGGCTGCGTGGCCCCCGAGGGTGAGCGATGGGGGCTCGTTGGGGCAGGAAGGGGAGGAGGTCGGGTGGATGGCAGGTGTTGGGGGGCCCGGGCGGCTGAGGGAGTTTCCCTGGGACAACAGAATGGGGACTTGGCGAGAGGGAGACCGGGCGCCACAGAGACTCCGAGATGCACTGAGAGCGGCCGAGGGAGAGAGGGAGTGAGAGAGGAGCAGGAGGGCCAGAAACAGAAACCGGGAGGGCCAGAGACGGAAGATGGACACCGAGAGGGGAGCTCAGGGAAGGGGTGGCCGCCGGACTTGGGTCTGGGGCGGCCATGGGGAGAGGGAGGACTCTTCCCCAAGGAGCACTTTGTCAGGCAGTGGGATGAGCCCTGGGGAAAAACCCTTGTCACTGTCAACCCCCCCAGCTTGTCCTGCCCCACTGCTGTCTGCCCCCCTCTGAGGGGGGTCTCTGTCTTGTCTCTGTGTCTCTGCCTCCAGCTCTACCACCCCTGTGGGTCCACTTCTCTCTCTCTCCCTCTCTCTCTCTGTCTTCCCCCTCCCTTCCCCCTCCGCAGCCCCTTCAGGATCCATTAGGTCCCTAGGGACCCCAAGGGAGGCCAGAGCGGGCAGGGGCCGCCCTGTCAAAGCCGGGGCATGGGAGGCTGCCAGATCCCGGCCTCCTTCCCAGCGGGAGGGATGCTGGATCTCAGTCCCCTGGGAAGTCTCCGCCCTCCACCCCCCCTGAGGTCACGCTACAACTATGTGGACCTAAGGGCCTGGCGGGGTCCTGGCAGCCGGTGGGCAGGCAGGGACAGGGTGGAGCCGGGAGTTCCTCAGCTAACTCTTCCCCGTCTCCCCTGCAGGTGCACGGGCTGAAGCAGACCCCTTTGCGGGAAGCCCAGGGAACATCACAGGTGCCCGAGGACTCATGGGCACCCTTCGGTGTGAGCTCCAGGTTCAGGGGGAGCCCCCTGAGGTGACCTGGCTTCGGGATGGACAGGTCCTAGAGCTGGCGGACAGCACCCAGACCCAGGTGCCCCTGGGCGAAGATGGGCAGGATGACTGGAAAGTGGTCAGCCAACTCAGGTGTCCGGCCACAGCCCTACATCCCACCCAGCCCCCCATCACACTGAGCCCCACCTGGGTTGGAAGCTCAGCTTGACCACTTGCTCGCCGTGTGGGCTTGAGCGTGTGATGTAACCTCTGGGTTTCGCTTTCCTCTTCTGTAAAATGAGTTAATAATAGTTCGTATAAGAACTTCGTAGTTCTTAGGAGTTTCTAGTCCAGACTCCCTCTTTCAGTTCTGGTGATCCCCTCCCAGTATCCAGCTCTGACCCCGAACCTCTCTGTCCCTCCCCTTGCCCTGTCAGAATCTCGTCCCTGCAGCTGTCGGACACAGGACGGTACCAGTGTCTGGTGGTCCTGGGAGGACAGACCTTCATGTCCCAGCCGGGCTACGTAGGGCTGGAGGGTGAGCTCTGGGGTCAGACGTCCTGAGGAGTCAGAGGACATGGGGAGTTCATTGTGGGAGGTCAGGAATCCCGCGCTGGAGGATTCAGGGTGACCCCGGGGGACCGACAGTCTGGGAATGTCAGCGATCTTGGGGGATCAGGAAGCTGGGAGTCCCCAAGTTATGGGAAGGTGAGCCCAGGCCGATTATACGTCCTGGGGGAAAAGACACCTTACGGGTTGTCGGATGTCCTAGGATGTCCTGGTTGGGATAGGACATTCTGGGGCTCAGATAAGGGGTATGAGACTTTCCCTTCTCCCCCAGCCCCTGGGGCCTCGTTTCCAGTAAAATGAGATGAGGAGTCAGACATTCTAGAAAAGAGACATAAGGGCTCAGATGTCTTGGGGGTCCGACATGGGGGGAATCAGGCATTGGGATCACGTGTTTTGGGGACAGAGGCCTGCAGAGCAGACAGCTGAAGGAAGCTCAGGGGTCCTGGGAGCAAAGATCCCGCGCTGTGGGTCTGTTATCCAAAGCCTCCAGCATCCTAGGGGTGGGTCAGACATCTGGGGGGCTCAGGGGAGCCCCAGCTTCTACCACTGCCCGCCAGGCCTGCCTTACTTCCTGGAGGAGCCTGAGGACAGGACTGTGGCCGCCAACACCCCCTTCAACCTGAGCTGCCGAGCCCAGGGCCCCCCAGAACCCGTGGACCTACTGTGGCTCCAGGACGATGTCCCCGTGGCCCCGGCCCCGGGCCACGGCCCCCAGCACAACCTGCGTGTTCCAGGTGAGTCTGGGGATGTGGTCAGCTCAGCGTGGAGGGTCGGAGAGGGCTGGGCAGCGTGGAAGTGGGAAGCAAGGGAGCCCTCGCTGCCACTATGTGTCTGCTCTGTCCTGCCCTTCTCTGACTGTCTCTCTCCACGTTGTCTCTCAGCCTCTGTCTCTGCCTCGCTCTCCCTCCGTTCACCCCAGCCTCTGTCTGAATAGCATCCTTTGTCCCGGATTTCCTCTGAGCTGTGCCACGGCCCCAGTGTGTGTGGGCCTGGTGCCCCTTTGTCAGCCCTTGACCCAAGCAGGGCACCGGAATCAAGCACGCCCCCCTCTCCACCACCTCCCTGCATAAGCTGCCCACCTCTGGCCCCGAAGAGCCCTGCTGGCCTTGGTCAAAGGGAGGACGTCCAGGCTGGGCCCCCTGAGGGGACAGAGCCCAAAGAGGGGGGGCGGGGGGGAGCAGGAGAGAGAGACAGTTACAGAGAGAGAGAACGAGGGACACCGGAAGGGATGGGCCACAGAGGTAACCCAGGACGGAGAGAGACAGGACAGGGAAGTCTGAGGGGCCGAAACCCTCTCCTTCCGGGGGACCACCCCTTTCCACACCGCACAGACAGGGCAGGACCTGGCTTGAGGTCACACGGTGGCCAGAGGCAGAGCTGGGGGCCCCTGGACTCAGGGGGTTCCCCCTTACTGAGGGAGGAGAGACAGAGGAGCACAGAGGAGGCTCAGTCAGGGCAGGCGGCTGGACCCGCACCCCCACCTGCTGCCTCCTGCTGCTGGGGTGGGGACGGGCCTCCCGGCTAGGGGCTCTCCTGGCTAGAGGGAGGTGCCCACATTCCCAACATTCCGGGGACCCTGAGTTGCAAGGAAGCGGTGATGTGGTGATGTGCATGCCAGCCCCTAGAGGGGTGACTCAGGCCCATGGCTCAAGTGGCCTTGTAGGGACTAGGTCCGAGGATGGGGCCTGAGTCAGCCTGGCAGGACCCAGGAGGAGAGGGAGAGGGGGAGGGGGCAGTTCCTCCCACCCCATCCCAGGAGGGGGAGAAACGGGGGTGCACGTGTGTGAGAGGGTCTCCGTGCGTCTCAGTGCGTGGGGGGGTGTCTGGGTACGTGTCCACGTCCCTCGGGATCTGTGTGTCGTATATCCGTCAGCATCACCCTCTTGGCATGAGGCCCGCCTTGGCGACGGCTGGCTTCTGTGGACGTCTCAGTGCGTGTGTGCGACTGAGTGCGCCAGAGTCGGCCTGCGTATCTGTCCCCCTTTGTGTTTGTGTGAGCGTGGAGTGTCCACGGGGGGTAGTGTGTTTTACGGCTACTTTGCACACCTCTCTGTCGGGAAGTGACGGCGTCAGCTCACAGCTGTGCCTGCATGGGTGTGAGTGTCCTGGTGTGGGCTTCTGCTTCCTTGGAGAATCAGGATGTGTGTCAATGGTTAACCTGGTGTGTTTCTTATTGGCTGTGTGTGTGTGCATCGGTGTCTCTGTGGCATCTGTGTATATGTCACAGGGTAAGCATGACTCGGTCACCATGGGCCCCTATGTCCGTGTGTGTGCATGTGTGTGTCTGTGTGCCGTCGACAACAGGCAGTACCGACACCCTCTGTTCGGTCCGGTCTCCCTGTGTGTGCACCGGGCCCCACCATGATGGACCCAGGGTGCTTAGCAGCCAGTGTGTATATGTGTGTCTGTGCCAACCTGTGTGTGTATACGGCAGTGTCTCCATCCTTGTGTGTCTGCCGTGGGCCTGAGTGTCTACGCAACTATGTTTTTGTGTAATTCTGCTTCTCGGTGAACGGGAAGCCACCTGTGTACACCCAGCTGTGTTTTGGCGCAGACGAGGCTTGGCTGTATGTCTGCATGTGTCAACGTGTTTGTGTGTGAGCAATTCAACATGGACCTTCACTGTGTCCTGGTGTGTATCCGTCCACTTCAACCTCAACGTACCTTTGTTGCTTGGTGTGTATATCGCAATACGCAGGGAAGCTTAGGTTCATGTGTGGGGCGGAAGCAGCCTAGACAGATGTATATTGCGTTGCTGGGTGTTTGTAATCAATGTGTACGCGTGTGATTGCGTGTTTACGTGGTGGTCCCAACACTAGGTTATTTGCGTGTGTGTGTCTCTGTGTTCGTGCATCAACGTCAGCCCTATGAGTATACATGTAAGTCACTGTGTGTTTGTGTCACTGTGTTTGTGACAGCATTAGCCCTTGTGACAGTAAGTGCTGCATTATCTGTGTGTGTACCAATAACGGCCTTTGTGTGTCTAAGTGTGATTCATTGTGCGTTGGGGGTTGCATGTGAAGGAATTTTGTCAGTTTGTGTGTGTCGGTCTCTCTATCTGACTCAGGCCATGCCCCCTCCTTCCATCCTCTCGTTCCCTCGGAAAAGCAAAGGGGGGAGCCGAGGGGGTAGGGAGGGGTAGGGAGGGGTGGGGCAGTACATCTGGAAAGCACATCTGGAGTCCGCCTGCTCCTGTCCTCCTGCCTCCTGTCGTGGAGCAAAAGCCCGCTGGAGGGAAGGGGTCCCAGGCCATCTCTCCCGACCCCCTCCCTCAAGGTGCAGCCGCTGGGGCCTGGGAAGGGGGGTCCCGGCTCGGCACCCTCAGGTCAGCCGGAAGTGCTGGGGTGGGCAGGCGCCCGGGTGACTCACGCGGGGGCAGGAATGCTGCGGTCGGAACAGGACCCGGCTCCAGCATCCCCCTCCAGCCGCCCCAGGGCTGCTGGCCGGTATCACCAGCTCCCGCGCGGTGACCCTGGCGGGGCCCCACGTGCCAGGTGGCTGGACGCGACCCAGGCTCCCCGCCCCCCTCTCCGGCCAGCCGCCCGGGGCTGTCCTGTCCCTCCCCCGGGCCGCAGGGGCTGCGGGTGCGCGCGGGCACCTGACCTTGGCTGGGAACGGCCGCCTGGGCAGCCGCAACTGAGGAGCTTCCCTGCCCACCCCCTTCCGGCCTCCCCTTCCACTCCCTCTGCTGACGGAGAGAAGGAAACTTTGTGCCTGCGGATGGCGCGCCTCCCCTCCCGAACGTGGCGGTGGGGACACAGGCGCACGCACGCAGAGCAAGCACAGGAGACACACACACGCACACAGAGATGCCCAGCACACAAATACACAACATCCACACCGACACACATGCACAAGCGCTGGCATAAGCAACACCCATAAGCGCAGTTGCACCGACAGACTTCAGACTCGGTCCTCCCTGCCTCCTGTCACTGCGTGCGTGTGTGTCTGTGCACAGCAGTGCCCCCCCATCCATGGGAGGTAAGTTCCAAGACCCCCAGCCTGGAACTGCAGATGGCACCGAGTTCTCTATAAAATATGCACAGATTTCTTTTTCCTGCGCAATTTCGTAGATAGAAGATTTGGTCTTACTGTAGATCTTAGCAATCACAGCATAAGATTTTTCTTCTTCCTTTATTAAGCTGAGAACTTTCCCCTTTTCACTTAAAGAAAGCACTTTACGGCTTCCCTTTGGCGTATCTGAATGGCTGGCATTACTAGATTTGCACTTTGGGGCCGTTACTAAGTAAAATACGGGTTCCTTGAACACAGGCACGGTGATAACAAATCGATCTGATAACCCGGAGGGCTGCTAAGTGACTAATGGGCTGGTAGCAGATACGGCATGGAGATGCTGGACAAGGGGGTGATTCATGTCCCGGGCAGACAGAGCGGGACAGCCTGAGATCTCATCACGCTACTCAGAATGGGGAGCAATTTAAAACTTCTGAATTGTTTATTTCCGGAATTTTCCATTGCATATTTTCGGACCGTGGTGGACTGAGGGTAGCAAACCCATGGATAAGGGGGGACTGCCACATGTCGCATGGCTGTGTGTACTGCGTATGTCTGTGTGTTTGCGTGTCTGTGTCTCTTACGTTGGATGAGGTCGGACGATGAGAAGAGCCAAAGAGAACAAGTAAAGCAGGGAAAGGACAGATACGGAGAGGAGGCTCCGATTTCAAACAGGGTGGTCAGTCTGGTGACAAACATGAAGGAGGGAGGGCGCGAGCCCTGGGACATCTGTGGGAAGACTGTTCCAAGCAGAAGGAACAGAAGTTCCCAGGGTGGAAACATGCTCGACACATGTGCTTTCCAGAAACACCAGGAGGCTAGTGTGGGGGGAGCAGGGGGAGCGCAGGGGGAGAGGGAGAGGCGTTGGTGGGAGGTACGCTCATAAGTGAACCAATGCTTCTCCATTCACCCACGCCCACAGGGCCTGCTTCCTGAAGTTCATGTCTACGAGTTGCGTGCACCTCTGTGTGTCTGCATGGGTTCATAGGAGTGTGTCTGTGCCCGTGCATGTATGTAAGTGTGTGTAATTCTGTGTGAGTCTGTGTGTACATATGTGTGTCTGTGTGTATATGAATGAGCATTTGTGTTTCTGTGTGTCTCTATGTGTGTGTATGAGTATGTGTGTGTGAGAGGGAGAGAGTGTGCATGTATGTGTATGTGTGGCTGTATCTGTGCGTGTCCGCGTCTGCGTGTGTGTGTTGGGGGGGGCTATGTGGCGGGGGGTTAGGGCCAAGACTTTGTGCCTGTCCTTGTGTCGGGGACGCAGGCTGTGTTCCTCATGCACGGCCCTCCCCTCCTGACCCTGGTCATGCTGGGTGTGGTGGGGGTGGCCTGGCATGGCCCGGGAGCCCCTTCTTCCCCTCTCTGACACTGAGCCCCTCCCTCATATGACTCCCCAGGCCTGAATCAGACATCTTCTTTCTCCTGCGAAGCCCATAACGCCAAGGGGGTCACCACATCCCGCACAGCCACCATCAAAGGTGACAGGAAAGGGAACTGGGTGTCAGAGGGTGGGGCTTGGGTCAGGGGTCAGAGGGGAGGCAGAGTGCAGGGTGGGGAACTTTGGGCAAAGCCCCCCAGGGTCAGTCCCTCTCTCATCTGTCCACAGTGCTCCCCCAGCGACCCCGTGACCTCCGCCTGGTTTCCCGCCAGCCCACGGAGCTGGAGGTGGCTTGGACCCCAGGCCTGAGCGGCATCTATCCCCTCACCCACTGCACCCTGCAGGTGAGCCCCCAGCCCTGGCCGTCCTCAGTCTCAGCGATCCTTGCGCACACACTCTCCCCGGGAGGCCGAGCTTTCCCAGCCACTGGTGCCTTGAGAGACAGTAGAGCCTGTCGTTAAGCCAGATGTCCTTGGTTCAAATCCTGGCTCCACCACCTGCTGGCTTCATGAGCTTGGGCAGGTAGCTTAACCTCTCTGGGCCTCAGTTCTTTCATCTATAAAATGGGCATAATGGTCGTGCCTACCTGATAGGCTTGTTGTGAGAATTCGATGAGTGAATGCAGGTAACCAACTTAAAATAGTATCTGGAACACAGGAATTGTGTCAAAAACTATGAGCTGTTTTAATTATTTTTAGTATTAATGATATTTACTCTAGCCAGAGTGGGGGCCCTGAGATAGCAGGGCCTGGAGCCGCCTTTGCCACCACGCGGTCCCCACAACCCTGTGCTTCTCCCGTCCCATCCCTGACCACCCTGGTGGTCGCTGTGTGGAGGTGGGTCTGTCACTGGACTGTGAGCTCTGTGAGGGCTGGAGCTGTCCCAGTTGCCACTGGCTCCTCATTACTGCCCAGCACAGGGTGAGACACAGAGTAGGGAATATTTGCTAGAATACATCACAGGCCAGGTGCGGTGGCTCACACCTGTAATCCCAGCACTCTGGGAGCCCAAGGCAGGAGGGTTGCTTGAGCAACAGTGAGACCCCGTCTCTACAAAAAAATAGAAAAATTAGTTGGGCGTGGTGGCACGTACGTGGAGTCCCAGCTACTTGGGAGGCTGAGGCAGGAGGATCACTTGAGCCCAGGAGTTTGAGGTTGCTGTGCGCTGTGATGATGCCACTGCACTCTAGCCTGGACAACAGAGTAAAACCCTAAAAAAAAAAAAAAAAAAAAAGAATCCTTTACAACTGAGATGAGCTAGACACAGCCTCTGCCCTGAAGTTGCTCCTACTGTAGAGTAAGAAAAACAAAACACAGAGATCTGTAGATACAAGGCCCAGTTCTGGTCTGAAGTTCTCTGAGATTTGGAAGCTGGAGATGAGGGTGGGACAGTGCCTGTGGTAGGAGATGACAGTAATGACTAGTGACCAACTTCTATGGAGTGTCAACTGTGTGCTAAGCCTTGTGTTAAAGCTTTGTGCAGGAGGGTCTATGGATCCACCCATTTTCCGGATGAAGAAACTAAGGCTCAGAGTAGTTAAGCAACTTGCCCAAGGTCACAGCCAGGATGTGGCAGAGAGGGGCTTCAAACTCTTGTCTCGCCAAAGCTGTACCGTGCTCCTAACCTCCTTAAGAGACCACATAGAGCCAGTGCTCTATTAAACAGGAGATGACTTTCTTATACTTACGTATCCTGGGCACAGCAGCATCTGCTTGTCATTTTAACAGTGGCTGTTCACCTTCCCATTTACAAGGTAAGGCACTTAGTTAGGCACAGGGAGGAGAAGTGCCCCCCTCCCCCACCATGGCTAGAGGGGTAAAGCTGAGATTAATCTCAGAGGCCGGCCAGATTTGGGAGCCCTCAAATGCCAGGTCAGGCATTAGCTGTACCCCCACCCACTTCCATCAAGTGTCCCCAGGAAAGCAGAAGTGTGTCCTCTTCCCTCTCCAGGTCTCACTTCCTGCTGCTCATGGGCTGGGGGCTGAAGGGTTCCAGTGGGAGGGTCACACAGCTGTCCCAGGGAAAAGAGAAGTGGGAGTGGGCACAGGGAGGCCGACTGTCTGTACCCATCTCCCCTCTGTCCAGGCAGAGGTTCCTCTTCCCGTCTGTCGCTGTGGGTCAGAGAGCAGGCGTGGGGACAGCCTCACCCCCTCCTGCTACCCACCATCTGCCGCCTTCCTCCCCAGGTCTCATGGTGGTGTCATCTCCCCATGTGGGGGCTGTGT